CAAGCTTTACAGAATTCTAATAAATATTTAATAAATATTCAGACCTGAAGAAGATTCAGGGTCAAATGTGTAGGAAGCAGACAATGAATTATCAGTTGTTACTGAAAAGCATCTATAGACACAATTAAACTTCCTAAAATGTAAGTCTATAAACCCATCCCATGTTGTTCTTTAACATTATATAACGGATAGTAGTAATTCAAGAGCAGAGTTTCTAACACAGTGATTATTCCTTAATTCCAGATTATAATCAGGAATCTAGTTTCCTTTGCACAGTAAGAGATGGGAAAGAGCAATGAAAAGAAAAGGGAATTTCCGGCTGTTCTCCAAGGTATATGAGCAGTCAGAACAAAAATAAAACTATGCTTCCCTTCAAATTGTCAGTGCTAGGTACATTTCTTTGTACCCATGCATTTACTCAATAATTATCAAACAGCTACTGCGAGCAAGGTTAAGGGATAGAATGGTGAAAAAAGATCCTCAAGGGGTTTATATATTACCACTTGGGGGGAAACACATAAAATAGATATTTACAATATTAGACAAATGTAAATTCTCTTGGAGTGATACAGAGCATGTGGAAATTGGGATTTAGGTGGGAAATTAAGGTCAGTTTCATGAGCTGAACCATGAAAAATGGTAGCGTTTCCCCAAACAGAGATATGTAAAGATGAAAGGAACTGTCAAATAAAAAAGGAAGGCAGGGAAGTAGGTGACAGTGAACATTCCAGCTTGTTGGGAACAGAAGGTAGAAGGATATAAGTCATCCAGGACCAGGGCATTGTCAATTTTGAATGCCAAGCTAAGGAGAAAGACGTGAAGTCCAAAGGCAATAACAATCCACAAAAGCAATATGTGGGCCTCCAAAACTTGACTCCTTTGTCATCCTATTTGATAAGTTGTAGAGAAATCATATGGTAATAGAATGCATAATAAAAAGAACTCGATACTTTTTTTATGAAGTTAAAAACAAAACTAAACAACATATTGTTTAGGCATAGGGGTATGTGTGTGTGTGTGTGTGTGTGTAAATAAAAGCAAGGTAATGACTCACAAAATTTGGAGTATTGATTATTTTGGGGGGAGCAGTAAGTAGTAGGACAAGATGGGGAAGCACCTAGGTAGATATCCATGGAAATTATTAATCATTGTCAATCTGAAAGTTGGTGGGTGTTTAATCACAGATGTTTGTCCATGAGTGTTATTTTTTTTCCATGCATGTTATGAAGTAAACAAATCTGTGTGGTTGAGGTCTGCGGTAGACTAAAAAGATACTCCAATGCTAAAGAGGCATCTACCCTTGGCTGACACCAACAGTGAGTGTTTATTTTCCTTCCACTTCTCTCCTCTATGTGGGCTGCCTGGGACCATCAGAGTCCTGAATTTGAAGCACTCTCCTGTATTTGGAGAGGGGTGTTGCTCAGCCCTGGCTACAGATCAAGGTCACCTGTGGGGCTTTAAGCATTACAAACATTCATGCCCCACGCAGACCTACTGAATCCGAGCCTCTTGGGGAAGGACCTGGTACACACATTTTCAAACCTCTTCCTAAGGGATCCTGAGGGCAGCAGGGACTAGAAACCATTCCTTGCAGAGTGTGCTTCGAAATTCGAAGTGGTTAGCTTATCACAAATGTAGATTTCAAGGTCCTAGCCCCAGAGATTCTGATCTAAAAAACAAGGAATAAGACCTTGCAATCTGCATGTCCTAAGCATCTCCCAGTGATTCTGACAAAGGGACTTCCTGGGACCACATCGAGAAACACTGCCCCAGAGGTTCCAAAACACTAGGGACTCCGGGTGATGACTCTGTGTATTCATTTCCTAGGGCTGCCATAAACAAAGTACCACATACAAGGTGGCGTAAAATAACAGAAATTTATTCTCCTAGGTCTGGAGGCCAGAAGTCTGAAATCAAGGCATCAGCAGGGCCATGTTTTCTCTGCAGTCTGTAGGGTAGAATCTTCCCTTGGCTCTTCTAGCTTCTAGTGTTTGCTGGCAACACACAGCATTCCTCGGCTTACAGATACATCACTCCAATCTCTGTCTCTGTCTTCCCTTCTGATAAGGACACCAGTCATATTGGATGAGGGCTAAGCTAATGACCTCATTTTAACTTGATTACATCTGCAAAGACCCTATTTTGAAGTGAGGTCACATTCACCTGTGTAAGGTGTCAGGCCTTCATATGTTTTGGAGAGACACAATTCAACCCAGAACACTGTTTAAAATAGTTGTTTTTTTTTTTTTTAAGTAGGGCCCCAAACCACTGATAAGACCGATTAGCTATGTTCTTTGGCTGGGATATCTAGAGAGAAAGACCTACAGTTACCTTTGAAAACTCAGTGTACAAAGAACCACTTGAAAAACTTGGGTTTAGGATGCATATTCCTGGGCCATGATCCAAGATATTAGAATTCAGGAGGCCCAAGGAGAGGCCTAGAAATCTACATTTCAAATGACATGGGGGAGTTGACCCATGTATCACGCCCTTGAGAAAAACTGGATTTAAGAGAACAAGCAAGGTCAAGGACCAGGTGGTTTGTGGAGGAGGAGCTCCCAAGAACAGACCTGAAATCTGCATTGGTAACAAGCTGCTCTGATGAACCATTGCCTTTGAGAGATGGTGTTTCTAGGGAACTAAATGATATCTACTGTAATTGTCTTTTCTACTTGCTAGTGAAACAGAAATAAAAATAAATGTAGTTTTAAGTAGTGGAAAAATGTTTCCTAGACCTTTGGTCCAAAGACAGTGGGAAGATAGCTTGTCTTTTCACCCTTGTTTCTTATGAACCAGATGGCTCTGCTAGACAGAGCAGTAGATTGGTAGACTAAGAATGCTGATTACAGAAAGTATAGTATGGACAAGTGAATACAAATTTTAAGTGCTCCCAGGCTAGGGGCACAATTCCAGATTATTGTAAGAGTAGTGTGATCGTGGGAGCTATTTCTATGAACTCTCTTCTGTTATGTTAACAAGAGACAGAACTAGGCTACGTTGTCAGCTCTCTCCTACTACTGCACAGAGAAGCTTGATGGGTGATGGAGGTTTATATTGGTTATTTTAGTCATCCATATTCAAAATTCATGTTCAGCATGACAAGCTAAATCATTTTGGAAGATGTCAACATTAAGTAGTTGACCCCAATCACACACTGCAATGTTTTTGCCAATAAAGACAAGGCTCTGTCTTTACCAATAATGGAAGGTATAGTTATTTGTTTGGAACAGACATACCCTCTCAATTCCTTCTGATATACAAATACTGGGGAAAGAAAGTACGTTCTTGGGGCACCTGGATGGCTCAGTTAGTTAAGCATCTGTCCTTGGCTCAGGTCATGATCCCAGGGTCCCAGGATTGAGCCCTGTATCGGGTTCCCTGCTCAGTGGGGAGCCTGCGTCTCCCCCTCCCTCCTGCTCTGCTCCCTCTTGCTATCTCTCTCTCAAATAAATAAAAATAAAATCTTTTTTAAAAAGTACATCCCCACTCCACAGACCTAAATGAGAGGGAAAAAACACAAAAACAAAATTGGGGGAAGCCTGCATTCCTAAAAATTCTATGATTCATTAAAGTGAGTCATGGCAGGGGGACCTGGAGTTTGAAAAATGAATCCTTAGATTTGAGTCTTCTTTATTTTATTTTTTTTTTAAGTAAGCTCCATGCCCAACATGGGGCTTGATCTCATAACCCTGAGATCAACAGTCACATGCTCTACCAGGCACCCCTAGGTCTTCTTTATTTCAGCGCTAGGATTTCCTGGTTAAGCCAGAGCAGTGGTTCTCATCTTGGCTGCAATGTGAGAGTCACTTGGGAGCTCTTAAAAAATACCAGTATTTGGACCCCACCCCAGACCGATAAAATCTGACTCTCTAGAGTGGTTTCCAGGCCCCTACTGTGGAGGTTATGATTTAGGAATTCTACTTTGGGACCCTTGGTCTCTATTTTATTAAGTACCTTGGGTAAATCTTATGACCAATTAGTTTGGAAAATACCATCCTAATCTAGCCTAGTTATTAGTTCTGTACAGTGATCTGAATTTTTCCTTTATTTAATAACCATTTACCACATAGCAAAAGGCATTCAAATTGAAAACTCAGGATATCATTTTAAAACTACTTTGCCCTTAACAAACATTTTTGCAATATGTCCCTTAATTTGTATCCCAAAAGAAATTGCCATCTGTTTCTCTTAGATACCTGAATCTTCTGTTTCTGTTTTTGATTTTCAGGAGTATAAATCTGTTGAAGAATCTTAAGAGTCAAATCTTCTGAGCCTGGACAGAGTGCTGCGGGCATCTCTGAGGCCACCTCCTTCTGAGAATTACCAGGTCTGACAACACTTCCCTCCAGCCTACAGTGAGGGACGTCAACACACGTTCTCTTGACTTACAGCCCTCAAGCCGTGGCAGCTGGGCAGGAACCTTACCAGCTCCATCCTGAGGGGAGACTCTGAGAGACAAGAAGGGTGAAAATTCAGATATGCTGAGCCTGAAATACACAAAAGCCTTTAGAAAGTCTCCTCACAGAAGAACCCAGTTAAATAACCACGTGATTAGTGTGCACACTTAGATGAGCCATAGGTAAAAGAAAGAACCTTTCTCCCACCGTCAAAGTAGAGTAAAAGTCTGATTTCACACTTGGTGATCTCTTGTGCCCATACCAGTATTATAGACCAGTTTCACCATTATTTGTTTTAATCAGTATGAGAGTAGGACTGTGGAAAATAAGAGTTATTTATATATTATTTTTTTTAATGATTAAGAATTTCTGACAAAACCTATTGAGGGATAGGGGTGCTGGGCTGGCAGACAGAGTGTAGCCATTGCCAAACTAGAACATCACCATTTTCTTGCTTGTGCACCACTGACTTGGTTCAGGTCGTGATTGCTTTGTGTAAGATTGTTAGAACACCTCCAGTGTATTCAGAAACGGTCTGAGTGACTGTGGAATGCCTTGAGGGCAATAGAAAGCAAAAAGAAACAGGTACCCACAGAAGTCTTGAGTGATGACGGAGGTGCATTTCAGGTACCATGGAAATCTCACCGGCCGGGCCCATTTCCCCACCCTGGCAACAGAGGTTGACACCACCTCAGATAAGTATTCCAACCTCTACATGTATGTGGGCTTATTCTTGAGCCTCCTGGCCATTCTCCTCATCCTGCTCTTCACGATGCTCCTTCGGCTCAAACATGTCATCTCACCCATCACTTCTGAGAGCACTGAAAGCGTCCCTCAGTTCACAGATGTAGAGATGCAGAGTCGAATCCCCACTCCTTAAAGCCAGGCTGACGACAGGCTTTAGTGGATCTCAGTAAACCCTTGGATGTTGATGTCCGGAAAAGCTTATTTTGTTGCACGTGGCTTCTCGTGTAGAGAAATCAACAAGTTGTTTATTGAATAAGCTGTTCGTGGTTTGTGTGTGTGTGTGTGTGTGTGTGTGTGTGTGTGTGTGTTGTTCTTTATCTTGATTCTGCTTGTGGGATATCTAAAAGGCTTAAGACTCGTTCTGTGCCAGGAATAAAGGAAATGGCAGCTGGTTGGGAGGGCAGGTTGCCATAGTAACCAAAGAGAGCCTGGGCCCTGAGCAAACCTCAGACCACAGAAATTCATATGCAGCTATTGTAAAAAACACAGGATCCCTGGAAGTTCCAAGAATAAGAAAGATCTGCTTTCACAGGGGTTAATGGTTCAAAGAGAGTACCCCTGAGAAAAGGACAAGCTTTAATTGAGCACTTGGACCCTAAAGACTGGCCTCTGCTGACATGAAGCTAAATCATGTCAGAGGTTAATAGACGGACCACAAACCCTTTTCCCAAAGAAACTATGATTTTATCATCCAAGGCCATTGGGTTTGTCCCAAACCAAAGAAGAGATTTAAAGAAACTGTTGAAGTTTAAAGAGCAAGTTTGCAGAAAGAAGTTGCTAGTCAACAAATTCATCTAGAGAGGGAAAATGTGCATTTTATATCTGTGTTATTACTATTACTAGGCTTTCAAAAACTTAGATAATGGCAGATGTATTACAAAAATCCAGAATCATGAGCTTCCCCCAAACCAAGGGAAAAGTAAGTCCAAATGTGGTCATGACAATGAAACTTCCATTATATGTGCAGTTTCTTTATCTTTTTCCTCCCTCCCTGTCACGTTCCAGGATTGAGTTGCACCAAAATATGAATTTTGTTTAAAGATGGCCCTGGCAAAAAAGACCCAACTAGACTTTAAAGCAGAAATGAAATAATCTTGGTATTCTGTCATTGTATGATTGTGGCTTTGGACAAAACATTCAAGCCTCTGGGTGCCAGGTTTTTCTTTCTGAAAAATGATCAGAGAGCTATTTAGTCACAGGGCTCCTTTTAGATCTGAGTGTAAGAAAAAGACAAAGGAGGAAAAGACTAAACACCACCCTCCTGCAAATCCTTATTAAGATCAATGTCCTCAAATGTCACATTTGTCTTTCCTGGAAAAGGCATTTCCCTTCCTGATCCCTGCCAAAAGATGAAGTGTTTCCCTTATTACCTATAAGAGAAATATATTTTTTAAAAATTCCATTCTCATAAGTAGCCTAGTACGCCAGTAGTACAGAATTTGATTTTTTTAAAAAATGAATGTTCCAAAAGGGAACCAAAGGAGAGGAGTCCTATTTACAAATTAGAAATGAGAAGGCGGGTCATCTACTTGCCGCCAAAAAACGAACACGCACATTATCAATTTCTACCTGCTTAAAATAATTCTATCCGCCTTAAAAATTAGTTCTCTCTGGCCCCTAAAGGGTGATCATCAAATGTCACAGGGTGCTCCCTCGGGAACTGCGGGTGTGGTGAGGGAGAAATGGCCTGGACTGGACCGCAGGTTAATGCCCCCTCCGCCAGACATGCAGCTCTCTAGTCTGTTACCAATTTAGATTGGCCCCTTTACTCTGATCTAAATCTAGCTTGGTGGTGAAATTCCCAAGTGCTTTCTACTTTTATACAGAGTCATTTGCCAATACTCTTCTCTCCAAGGGGCTGCAAAGTGTGAAATCCCCACATGCAGAGCTAAACTTAGCAGCAAGTCTGCTGCCTCTGGCTCACTTGTTACAATAAGCGGACCTTGAGAGTTGGCAGCTGATTTCTGCACCATTCAGAAGAGATCGGCAGGCAGGCTAAGACTCCAATAGGGCATGTACTTCCTTTTAGTCATTACATTTTCCAAAACACATAGTGACGCTTATATTATTACATTTGGTGGTTCAAGTTGTGTCTGCCCTCAACAGCCAGACTCCACATACCCTTCAACATTTTAGTTCTTAGCAGCCTTACACGGACTTCATCGAGGGCTGGCAATGTCTCCCACAATTTCTTAAGGACACAAATATCCCCTTGCTCCAGGCTCTCCCTTTTGTGCTCGCAGTATTTGAATGCACTTTACGGTTAGGAAGTCAGTGGCTGGATAACATGAGGGAACTGAGGAGACTTTCAACAGCGGTGACTAGCAAGATACTCAATGCCTTGTTCCCAGAGCTGATGAAGAGACAGGCTACGAATTCATTCCTGTCCATTTGACCTCCTGAACCCTAATTTCTGGACCTTAAAACTACTCTTTAATCACTGGCTTGGATGAAGAGTCCTGATTTATGATTAGGTTACTCACCTGGAAAACAACCACCCTCTTTCATCACAACTGCCCCCATGGGACCCAGATCTTCACTGAGCATTAACCAAAACCCACAGCACAGTTGCACTAAAATGGTGACCTAACCAATGCCTCCCCCACGCAATTTCTAGTGATAACATAAATGGAGGTGCATCTAAGCAGATGTGTCATTATGGTGACTCACATGCTATTTAATCTTTAAAAATAAACCGAATGTTTTCATCATAGCAAAATTACTGTAAAGACAATAATTTTTCCATTTGTATTAATTTTATTCTATCCCTCGATATATTAATTAACATACATTACTACTCAAAGAGGCAGCTAGAGCAATCAGTGAGCATAATTTGAATTTATCCATCTATCCAAAATGCTGACTTGGCAACTCCCTCCCCTATCCCCACTCTCCAAAAGTTGCATGATAACCTAAATGTATATAAACAGGTTATTTATGTGTAGATCTGTTTTAAGGTGAAAGAATGATTCTTTACTTTTTATTATGAGGACCCATAGGAAATTGTCATTTCCATAGGTCAAAAGTGCTCAACTCTCCACGATTTCATGTAATTCAACTTAATAAAAAGAAGACTCACATATGAACTTTCTAAATGGTACACTCTCCTAATATGTTTAAAAGTAATTCAATTTCTAAAAATGTACCTTGCATACATTTCAGAATCATGGGTTGTATAAAACAAGGTATATTGTAAAAAGACATATGTATTATGTATGTAGGAAATATTAAGGTTAATCAAGTAAAGATGTGTTCATCCAGCCTAACCTTTCCATCCATGCCAAATCTGAAGCTTTGGACTCATAAGTGACTTTGACTGCTACAGACCCCACTGTACTTACTATGTAGGTCAGAGAGGTCCACTTGATTCAATGAAATGGCTATATTTAGTAATACATTTATTCACCTGCATTTGTACTAAAGGAACTTTTTTTTAACAAAATGAAGAACTGTGTAAAAAAAATTTGGTTTCTTTTGTTTGAAGTTGCCAATATTTCAGATAGATTCATATGGTATAAAAACAAACCTAATATTTCAATTACTATTTAGCATGTCATTTTTGATCCCTGGAAAATAAACTTCTTAGTTTGCTGATAATACATATCTATTGTCTGAAGAATGTAAAGAACATTAGTCTCTTCACCCTGATATAAATTGGAACAGCTGTAATTTGTGGAGTTTGTAATTTTTTATTTTTATTTTTGAGAGAGAGAGAGAGAACGTGTGCACTCAGCACATTGCCTGACTCAGGGCTTGATCTCATGACCTGGAGATCATGACCCGAGCCCAAATCAAGAGTCCTACACTTAACTGACTGAGATGCCCTGTGGGATTCATAATTTTGAGATGTCGTTATTTCTTCTTGTCGTTATTTCTTCCCCGCCTTTATTTTCTTCTGATTTGCAAAGTTATTGATGCATTTGTTTCTAAAGTAGTAAGATGTGAAAAATAGATAATGAATGCCAGCTTCCAGTGAAAGTGATCCAAGAGTGAGATAAGGCATCTAAAATATCAGTCTTTCAACATTTCCCTCCCCTCATAGGTTATCAGTCTTAATGTACCTTTCCCTGTGCTTTCTTTATTTGATCCTCACAGCCACCCTGTGAGTAACTGGGTGGAGGTATTATAGTCTGTGTTACGTGAACACAGAGGTGATGGAGGCATTCATGGTTACACACAGGCTGAGTCAAGACGACACTGTCAGTCTTTGAACTCCTAGTTTAGTACTCATCCCACCATGCTTTGCTTTCTGAGCACTGAATAGATATTTCAAAGCTTTCCATGCTGCAATACTCCAAGTTCTGCCAGCAACAATTGAGCTCTCTAGATGATTAACTCCCTGTGCCCAAATTCAAAACAAATGGGCAGAATTCCTCCATCTCTTCAATTTTATAGCCAGAGCAATGCATATTAACAGACTGTAGGAGAGTTTACACAAAGGCAGATCCTGCAGCTTTAATTTACATGAATGAAGGGAAGAGGCAGAAATATGGATGGATTATCACCCGCAATGCAAATCCCAATCCTCTGATCAGTTGACTTAACGCCCACAGCCAATGCCAATCCCTCATATGCATGATTATCTCTCATCTCACCCCTAGAAAAGAGAACACCCCCCTCTTAGGTAAAAATAGTGCAGTTTTAAAAAACTGTGTAGTGTTCTATGTGTAAACAACAGTTCTATTTGTGCTCTATAATAGATGCAATGACATTAAAAGGGAGAGAATTGTTGGCTAAAGGAGGGTCCTCCAGCCACAAAGAATGAATTGTTGTACCTGTAGGAAAAGGAGACAAAAATATGGAACATAGGTACGGCAGGACAAGGAAGTACACCTATTAAATATAAGTGAGGAGATTTTGAAAGATAACTTGAGCAATTCTAGGTATTCCGATTCATTTTCACATCAAGTAATTATTGAGGACATCATGTATGGACACAGAGGAGAATAAAAGAGACAGATTGTACACTGTACTAGACTAGGTTCTGCAGATCTAATCTGCAGTGGGCAAGTTTGCAATCTGGCAAAAATAATGAGTACCTAAATTCATTCATTCATTTATTCTCTCATTCAACATTTATTCAGCACCTCCTGTATGTGCTAGCTGTGAACACAAGGCACAGCCTATGCCCTGGTGAAGGTTATAGCATA